CGGAAGTACCGACGGTACTGACAATCGACAGTACCAAGAGATATCAGGAGCTACTGCGGGAGTATGTTGATATTACAATACAGAGGAAGGTCAAAGGCGCCGCTCACCCCGTGCAACACTATATATTGATCAACGGCCCGCCAGTCCACGAAGCGGCACGTCGCCCGAAAAGCTCAAAGCTGCGAAGCTCGAATTTGACTTCATGCTACATCTGTCAACCATCCAGAAGCCCATGGGCCAGCCCATTGCACTTGGTCAAAAAGAAGTCTGGTGAATGGAGACCCTGCGGGGATTATAGACGTCTGAATCGAATCACGGTTCCCGATAAATATTCGATTCTACATATCCAAGACTTTTCGCACTGTTTGCGAGATTGCACTATTTTTACCACGCTGGACCTCACATGAGCGTACCGCCAAATCCTTGTTGCACCGGAAGACAGGCCAAAAACTGCTGTAGTAACGCCGTTTGGACTTTGCGAGTTCAACGTGATGACATTTGGATTGTGCAATGCGGCCCAAACGTTCCAACGCTTCATGGACGAAGTGTTAAGAGTACTTCATTTCGCACGATATTACATAGACGATATCCTCATCGCATCCAGGAATGCAGAGGAACATGAAAAACATTTTCGTTTAGTATTCGATCGCCTGCGTAAGTATGTCTTGTCGATAAACATTGCTAAATGTGTTTTCGGAGCAGAGCAGGTACAGTACTTGGGCCACAGCGTTACCAAAGAGGGAACCAAACCATTGCCAGAGCGAGTCGAAGCAATTCGATCGTATACGAAACCAAAGAATATTATAGAGTTACGTGGGTTCCTAGGAATTATTCATTTCTACGGGCGTTTTATAAAGCACGCTGCCGAGGCACAAGCACCTCTTAACACATATTTGGTAGGAGCGAAGCATCGCGACAAACGTCCCATAATTTGGAACGATGAAACGGAAAAAGCGTTTGAACTTTGCAAACGACAGTTGGCAGACGCCACATTGCTGGCACATCCTAAGGAAAATGCCGTGCTAGCACTTCATACGGACGCCTCAGACGTCGCTTTAGGAGCAACGTTAGAACAATGGAGTGGCAGCAATTGGGAACCCTTAGGATTCTAATCCAAGAAATTTGAGCCCAGAGAACAAAGATACTGCACGTATGATAGGGAGCTAGCAGCAATCTATTACAGTGTAAAATTTTTTAAGCACATGATCGAAGGCAGAGAGCTCATCATAAAAACGGACCACAAGCCGTTAGCATACGCGTTCCTGCAGAAGTCGGACAAGGCTCCGCCTAGAAGACCGCGACAGTTGGACTACATAGGGCAGTTCTCAACCAACATCGTGCACATTAATGGAACGGAGAATGTAGTCGCAGATGCGCTGTCCAGGGTGAACGCCGTGAGCATGCCTGTCATCGTCAGTACGCAAGAATTAGCGGAAGAACAAGTCAAAGACAAGGAATTGCAAGATCTCCTGCAGTCGAACTCAACTAAACTATTACTGAAACCGCTAAGAGTGGACAACACGGAGACATAGTAGTATATTGCGACATTTCAAATACGGATATAAGGCCTTATATACCTAAATCCTTGCGGAAACGCATTTTTGACATGACTCTCGGCTTTTCGCATCCTAGCGGTAGGGCAACCAGAAGGGCGATCGCAAGAAAATTCATATGGCCTAACATGAACAAAGAAATCACCGAATGGGCCAAAACCTGCATCGCCTGTCAACGGAGCAAAATTGGCAGACACACAAAAAGCTTGCCGGACCGCATACCAGTGCCGGAACACAGATTCTGACATATACATGTTGACATTGTGGGGCCACTACCACTTTCTCAAGGGTATAATTATTGCTTAATTGTTATAGACAGATTCACACGTTGGCCGGAAGCAGTACCGATACCAGACATGACCGTGGAAACGGTAGCTGCAGCGCTTTATTCAACGTGGATATCAAGGTTCGGGACACCCGATACAATCACAACAGACAGAGGAACCCAATTCGAGTCGCGATTATTTCGAGCCCTTACCAACTTGATTTTATGCTAAAGAATTAGGACAACAGCTTATCACCCGGCTGCCAACGGGATGATAGAGAGGTGGCATAGATCACTTACGGCTGCCATTATGTGCCGCAATACCAAAGATTGGGCAAAGATACTTCCGACAGTATTCCTAGGACTGAGAGTCAGCGTTTAAGAGGATTTACAGGCTTCAGCCGCTGAAATGCTGTATGGTACCACGTTAAGAGTTCCTGGCGAATTCTTCATATCCGAAGACACGCCGGCACCGGACCCTCAAATTTTCGTGGAAATGTTCCAACAGCACATGCTGCAAGTCAGATCGGTTCCAGCAGCGCATTATGAAAAGAGAAAGGTCTTCGCGCATAAGGTTCTTTACTCGTGCACACACGTTTTCGTACGTGTAGATGCTGTACGTAAACCCTTGGAGCAACCATACGAAGGACCGTACAAAGTAATCAGTCGGGCAAGGGATAACGTATTCATCGTTAATGTAAACGGTACACACGTCAGCATCACGACTGAAAGGCTGAAACCCGCTTTCGTAGAGGTCACGGAAATGGACGAAACGATGGAGGGAACAACCAATATAGCAGCCGAACATCAACCATTCGCGCAATTAAAAACCTACCCCGGACCAGCGAAGAAGCTTGGTAGACCAAGCTCCTCGGGAGGGGATGATGTGTCGGTACGACAGACATCGTCGTTGTCGGCGGAGCCGAGCGTCGCCAGCGCTCTGTCCGATTTTCACGTACCTGAAAGTCCAATTCTGGACATAACGTATAAGACTTTAGATGAGAGAACACACGTGCGTTTTTATAAAAGTTTTGTAAAGCGAATAAGGACTTACGGAGTTGTAGCGAGTGACAAAGTATTTATATATATATATATATATATTTGTGTTTTCGTAAATAATAAAACAAAGATAAAGATAAAGAGATAATTTCGAGTCTAAATCCTCTACAGTCTATTATAAATTTTCAGCTGTAGTTTATTGAGATTGGTTTCGCCTGAACTCCATCTAAAGAATTCGACTAGAAGCGTGTGAGTAACTATCCCAGCATATCGAGTTCGGATCGATTTGGCAAAATTCGGCTAAGCTCGTACACCGTTTCTGATTGCTCAATCGTGCCAGGTACTTACGAGTTACTTGGAGTTTACGGTCGACGGGAAACGGATTTTGATGAAACTTGCAGCATTCAAAGATGTCGTTTTGGCAAAGTAGTAGCATGCAATTC